GTACAAAACAAAAATAGGCCTACAGATTTTTTATTTTGACATAGTTATTTGTATGATTTCCTCTAATTTCTGTATCGAATTTAACAGAGAAAATGCGCACAACTGGAYGGAGCGTCCCTCGGTTGGTGAAAACCTGAACCAGCACCCAGAACTGCCTTTGGATCCGGAACCACTTCCGATCTTCTGTCAACAAGCCGCGTGGACTGGTTCCAATTAAAACCGTGAGGAGGGAAATGGTCAAGCCAGAGGCGCTCTGGCGACAGACAAAACCAGTAAAAACTGAATAAATTAGAGCGCATTTTTTGTGTGGATGAATTCGCCTTCATGTGCGCCTTTTAACACGAATAAAAAAAATAAGATTAAAAGAGTATCTGGGTCCAGAGCTAACTGGATGTCTTGAATTTATTGACAACCTTTTTCTCCTTCACCCTCCTGTTCTGGAACCAGATGGTCACTTGTCTCTCTGTCAGGTTTGTCTGCGCGGATATCCGTCTCCTTTTGTCCTTGGTGATGAATTTATTGGCGGCGTACTCCCTCTCCAGTTCTTTGAGCTGCACCTTGGTGTAGGGCACGCGCTTCTTTCTGCCACGGCGAACTGAAGAGTCTCCAGCAGATATCGTGTCTGAAGTGGGGGGGGGGAGGAAAGTTAAAACATTAATAATAAATAAATCACGTTTATATTCCTTGAATTGGTGCGTGTGCCAAAATTACGCACGAGAAATAACAAAATTAAAATTGTTGTGGCACTTTTTGGGAAGTAGGGGCTGGGTATCCCAGAAGAAGCACATTTAATTAAACATTTCCACACAGAAGTACCTTGTAAGGAGGACTTCCACAGAGGGTTTGACTGCGGCTGCTCCTTGGCGCAGTAAACCTGGCCGCTCCAGCCGTTGGTGAGGGTCCAGGGCTGGTAGGGCTCCATGGGCAGCAGGGGCTCGTGCCTGGGCTCAGATGGCGCACTCAGCGCAGGTACGACGGGGACGTCAAGGTAGCTGGGCTGATAGGGGCCGGATGAGTAACCCTGATAGAAGGCGAACTCCTTGGCCCGGGAGGAGAACTCCTCACCGGGGACCGAAGACTCCGCGTATTTCTCTGCGTAACCGGACGGTTGCGCGCAGCCTTTCACGCCGCCGTGGGACACCCTGCACGGGTAATAACCGCCCCCGAAATACCCGTAAGGCAAAGAGGCGTTCGGGGAGCTCTGGGTGCCGGAGCAGGGGCTGCACTGCTTCCCGGGCTCCCCCACGCCGGAGCCCGGCACCTCGCTCGCCGCGTAGGTGGCGCTGGGGGCCAGCGAGGTGGGATGCGCCAGCAGATTCCGGCACTGGTTGGCCGCGAAGTTGCCTCCGCTGAAGCCCTCCATGTTCTTGCTCCTGTCCTCCAGGGCGCTGTCGCTGTAGAGAAACATCACCGGGTCCATCCAGTGCGAGTGGAGGAGTAACGAGGCGGTCATAGCATGTCCCGCACTGAGAGGAAGCAGGTCGAGTTTTTCTCTCCCCCCTTTAAAAAACACAATCCCCCCTCTTCAAGTGAGCAGAGACAGGGACTCAGACAGACGAACGATACCAGAAAAAAAAAGAAAAAAACACACAAGAGTACGTGGAGATCGAAAGGTTATTGGTCCGGGTCGAGCACGTGATATGCAAAGAAGATGATAAACGTCTAGATATCTGATAATACAGATCAGGATTTACGCACAAAAATGTACTTAAATCCTGTCTTTATGATCTGAAACTATTTTTAGAAAGTGCTTGTTTATGTTGATCTTGTGTCGTTTTCTTCATTTTAGTGATTTGATTAAACAAAACCTGAGAAACTTGTAGTTTTTTTTCCATTTGGGGGCAGAATTGGTGCGTAATGAGACGTGTAATTTGGAATGATCTCATTTTTAAAGACAAAGCAGTGAGAATTTCCTAAAGCCTGAAAGAACTTCTGATTGTTTTTGTTTATCTCAAACACACCCAGTCAAAGCTGAAAGTCTTATCTTTATAACTTTATTACTGAAGCGACGTGACTTTTGGTTTTACGCACAAAAACCGTTCAGAGAAACGACGAAGAGTTTTTTTTAAATCCAGGACAGCAGCGCTGCGTAAAATGAAAACGAACATTTCTTTTGATTTTAGAAAACCCAAGATTTACTAACAAACAAGTCTCAGAACAGATCACACATATGGTTGCCCCCTCTTCTTCCTGGGGGAAGAGGCGGCTGGAGGCCAAGGTCAAGTTGAAAGTTGCTGAAAGAAACAGAGCGCGCAGCGCTGAACGCAGAGGAGGAGAATAAATCAGTGCGTCCTCTCTCCTTTTTTTTTTTTTTTTTTTTTACAAACATAGAGAAAAAGAAAACCCCAAGTTCTACAGTCACTCCTGAGTTAAAAATAACTCGTTTGGAGCAAGAATTAAAATAAAATGTTTGCTCTGCAGTTTGTTCGCTCCTTTCAGGAAGGAATACAAAGAGACAAAACGGACAAAAAATGCACGATTTAAATTTTAAACTTGTTTTTTCCCCTCACCCATTCTTCTTTAACTTGTATCGCACGACTTTATGTTTAAAGTCAAAGAGGAATTTGTGGCTGCCCAAATAAAACTGAGAACTTTTTTTATTTTAATAGATTTTTTTCCCACCTTTTGAGGCTGTAAATCTTTATGGGCCAAGTTCAGCTTGTAGGCAAGAGTGTGAGAAGAAGAGGAGAAAAGAAAAAAATATGTAAACGTTTTAATACATACATGTTTTAGATGACGCTGCAGCTGAAATGAGGAAAATGACGCGTTCGAGCAAAGAAACCATCAGAGCCACATTTTCCTCTCGTTAGAAACAACTAAAGCTGGATGTAGAGGTTTATCAGATTTAAATTAGTCTTATATTTGCAGTTTGCAGCTATGGTTCGTGAGTTACTGATCAAAAAAACATGCAGTTTATTATTTTTGTTTTGTCATCAAACCCACATTAAAATCACAAGATTCTTCAACATTTCAGCTCTTATCTGAACTTGAAACTATTTAATATGAAACGTATCTTTGGGCCATTTAATTAAAAATTAAACCAACGGTGGAAGTAGGAAAAACAGAAAAAAGCAAGAAAAAATCATTTTAAAAAATCAGTTCAAAACATCTAATCACAAATATGAGCTTCATGAATAAACTCCAGCATAACAGATTTTTAATAAAAGCGATTTATAGTTATTTTTGGTTAATTCGACAACTAAAATGCTATTAGTTCAAAGAAATTCACTTAAATGCACTCAACTGGTGGGTCACAGCACATTTTGGGTCTCAGACTGTCTTCAGTGGGTCCTGGGATAAAATAAATTACAGAAAAAGAAAAATCAAGGTTCTGATTTTTAGTTATTGATCGCAAAGGTGACTTAATAATTTGAACAAGACAATCTTTATTCAGTGCGGTGCTCAGCTGCTACATTTTAAACCTTTTTGAAACCAAGTTGGACTTTTTTTCATTTCCTGTTTGAAAGCAGAGTTTGTTGAAAAAAAAAAAGGCTGGAGTTCCTTTTAGTTTGAATCAAAATGCAGCTGCTCACTTTGGTTCATTGTTAAACTTTTTTTTGTATCATCTCAGGTTCACTAACTTAAGGAAGTTTGATATTTTCCTCAATTAGGTCACAACTCATGTTAAGGGATGATGGTGGGACTGAAGCCAGACCCAGCATTCTACAGAATAAGACAGTGTTGTATAAAGAACCTCAAAGTGATACTTGAGTAAAAGTACAAGTATCTTCTCATAAAAGTACTTTGGTAAAAGTTAAAGTCTTCTCTAAAAATATTACTTGAGTAAAAGTCTTAAAGTATCTAATGTGTTTTGTACATAAGCATCAAAAGTAAATTTCTGACACAAAATCTACTCAAGTATTAAAAGTAAAAGTAAACGGTTAGATTTTCCAAAATGACATTTATTGGGAGGTGACTTCTCAAAAAATATATATTTTTTTCTAACAGCGTGCAGCTGTGATGGGTTGTGTACAAGCTAATGGTGTGTCAGAATGGTATATATTTATACTTCTCATCCAACCACAATTAAATTCACTCTATCCAGGAGACACAATTTATCAGGATAGTATTTTTAAGTAATAACAACTCAGAATAAAATAGGAGTAACGACTTTCTACTGCTTACCTTTTAAAAAAAATGTAGTGAGTAAAAGTACAGATTATTGTGTAAAAATGTAATGAGTAAAAGTAAAAAGTACGCTGAAAAATAATTACTGAAGTAAAGATAACCAAAAATTCTACTGAAGTACAGTAACAAAGTATTTGTACTTAGTTACTTTACAACTCTGAGAAGACAACATGACAGCATGATAATTAGTTGTAATGCCAAAGTTTGCCCCAGGAAAAAAAATAAAACAACAAAAAAATGCATTCCTGTTTTGTCTGTGTTTTAAACTGAAGTTTGTCCAGTTCTGTTCCAGTTGTAGAAAAATACATTTCCAGTCCATGAGACCATCTGCTGTTGCAAAACTTACTGCGCCAAAAGCATCAGTTTAAAACAAGATATAATCTGAGTTCACATTTGAYTTCAAGCGGTCAAGTCTCACAAACGAGAGCAACAAAAGACAAATAATCATCACTGCGTTAACAAATAAAACCTCTCAGAGAGCAGAGCTGATTAAAAAGTGAAGCTGCTGTGACTGGATGTGTGTGTGTGTGTGTGTGTGTCACAGTCTGCTGGAGGCCTGAGACCAAAGTGCTGCTCTGTTTGCAGAACCTATCAAGCAGATGACAGCGCAGCTCTCAGCCTCCAGTGCTTAATGGACTTTTTATGACTTTTGTCTTGTGATGGCCTGACCTGTGGTACCTTGGCCTCTCAGCGGTTGTTGGTAAAGCAGATCAGAAACATGCCGCACTCTTTGCTCTGGTGTAGAAGGTAAAAAAAGGAGGACAGATCCAACAATTTGTGGCGGCCCAGAAGTGATACTTTGACCCATTAAAAAGGCAGAAATATTTAAATTTCTAAGAGAGATGAAAATCGTGTGACTCTGCGTCAGATCCAGACTGAAGTTTGTTCACATCTGTCCCAGAGCGTCTGACTTGTTGCCCAAGACGTAAACGATTATATTTTATTTGATTTAAAAGTGAGAAATGTGGGCTGCAGCACAAAAATAAATGGAAAATCCTCCACAAAACCTGGAGGTTTGGCCACAATTAAATGTTTGTAGAGACGAATACATTCCAACAGATGAATAATTAGGCAAAAATCTGAATTAGTTTTTTCTATAAAAGAAAAAAAAAAACGTGCCACTCGTTTTTGCTCACTGATTTCTGGCTAACATGGAGAGGAAAAGACTATAAAAGGGAATGTGGTTGACGACGCAGACGCCATTACTCAACTTTTTTTTGTCTTTATTTTCTGACAGGATGCGACACTCAGATGACAGTTTCAGTGTCAACTGAAATAACTCGTCTGAACAGAAATAAAAAAACAAACAAAAACTGAAGATAAACATAACAACTGTATCTGTAATGAACAAGTTTCATTATACTGAGTTTTCTGCATTAAGTGATTGTTGTTTATTTAAACTTTAAGGAGTGCCTGATTATAAAACTATTTTATTCACTAGTGAAATATCGTGTGCTCACATTATGTCTCTCACAACTTGTAAGATTTAAAAAAAACAACAAAAAAAACTAAAACTCCACATGCGGAAATGTATGTTAATCCTGTGCAGGGGGAGGCACATGGGGGCGGGGCTCCAGACGGGGTAGTAGCGGATGTTACTGACTCTCCTCCTCACGCAGGAACTGGAACACGGAGGAGAAATCTTTGTTGGCGTAACCACGCGCGCACATCATCCGGTAGATCTGATGGGCTAAGGAGCCGAGCGGGACCGGAGTCCTCGTGGTGGTGGCTGTGTCCTGCGCCAGGCCCAAGTCCTGACGAAGAAAAGCAAATGTTTGCATTTTGAACACAAAACCACACATGTAGGGTTTTACTCTCTTTGTGTGGACTGCCATTCATTTCTACAGCCAAACCCTAAACCTAGCAGAGGGTCAGATAGAAACTTGCCAACTTAAAAAAGATGACATGCATTCATTTTTGCACCTGTTTGTTCAAGTTAATGTACTTACTGTAGTTATTCGTGTATAATACAATCTCATGTATGATACGACCCCCCCCCTATTTTTAGCCTAAAAAGCATAAAAATTTAATTCTCATACTACCTCTAATTTCATATGTACTTCAGGAATTTTCAGCCTTTACATATATATCAGTAAAAAAATCATTTGACTGTTGTACCAGTTTTTAGTTTTATTTTAACAACATATATACTAAAGGTACACAACAACAAATGCATAACTACAACAAAAGCTATCAATGCTCATTTGTTAACTGGTGTGATATAACAAACAGATAGAGCTATGTGGCTCTAACAAGTGTGGATGAAGCAGAATCAAAGCCTTCAAAATCAGGCTCACCTTCATCAGTATCATTAAAAGTTTCTGGTATTCCTCCTCTGTAATAAAGGCATCAGAATCCCACTCAACAACAATCTCATCCTCTGTGTCTCGCGAGCACCCCCTCTGGTGGGGAAACTTTTTTCAGGCAGACCAACAGAACACTGGTAGACGGCAGCCATTACAGACGACCATGTGTTTGTTGTTGTTCCAGGAGCGGCCCGGTCGCACATTAATATCATTAGTTCGTTATGCAGGACTGCCTTTTTTCTTCTTTTTTTTCCACATCATGTTGCCTGCTTGGATCTGTTACTATCTCGCTCGGAGGCACAAAGGAGTGTTAGAGGTAAGATCGCTTCAACCGCTTTGTATGACGTGGTTTCATTTCTGGACTCGGGGATTTAGTGAATGAGGCCGATATTTCAGTTAAAATACATTAGCAAAAATATTTATCTGAGTATAGTACTACCCCACAACTTTGTGCATGATTTTATGGATTGAATTTTACGCATTATACTTGAATAAAAACGGTAATTCAATTGAATTTGCTAAAATAGATTCTACCCCATCATATCTGTGATCCCACGCTTTAGAAACTGACCTTCGTCATCAGCTGCGTGCCGAATCCCCCCTGGTAGTTATTTCCAGAAGGAACTCCCTCCATGACTCCTGGCACCGGGTTGTAGGTGTCACTGGACCAACAGCGACCAGAACTCATGTTCAGAATTTTGGCCAAAAGCTTGGGATCAAGACCGAGCCTGTGGATAGAAGCAACCATCATCATCATCCTCATCTTTCAGAAGGTATAATACACTAAAGCATTTCTTTCTAAATACATGGTTTTTGTTACCTGATCCCCAGGTTCATGGTTTCTGATGTCCCTATCATTCCAATGGCTAAAAGCATGTTGTTACAAATTTTGGCAGCCTGTGATTAAATGAAAGTAGTATTTATTACCACAAAAACACAACTGATTATCATGAGAAATAACTGACCGGAACAGATTTTTTTTTACACATCAGATCTTTTAAAGTGGGGTTCTGTTGAGATGTTATGAACAATTATCATCTTACCTGTCATAGATAGCTCTTTGAACAAATTCATTCCAGTTAGAATTAAATCTATTTCTCTAAAATGAGATTCAGAGCCATCTTCAACAGGCAAGATATTACTTGTTCATAACTTTTCCACAGAACCCCACTTTAAAAGATACGAAATTTAGCTTTAAAGTGCCTGTGACATAAAAATGTTGTAATAAACATAAAACTATGAAAAGATAACACCGATGACATATTGTGAAAAAAAAAGGTTTCATGATGAGATGAACAGTTGAGCTATTTGCATGTGAAGTAACAGGAAGTGATGTCAAAGGGGAGTGTCTGCATGTAAACAGGGTATTTCTACAACAGCTAACACCAGACTCTAGAGACCAATCTGATGTTTCATTTTGAATCATTATCAGAGAGAGATGACAAAGAGGCAGAGTTCTAATATTGTTTCAACAAACCAGAGAGTTTCTTTTCTTAAACGGTTCCCCTTTGATGTCACTTCCTGTTTCACTTTGGCTGAGCCAAATGTAAAAGAAAATATGCCCATTATGTGAGAAAAATGGGTAAAATCATGTGTTATGCCAAGTTTCATAAATATAAACATATTTTTTTGTATTTGAAGGATATGCATGTCACAAGCACTTTAAAGAAATTAATAAAATAAATAAATAAATGAATAAACCTCCCAGATATTTTACTCATTTGTGATCTTTGCTCACACCTGTCCAGTCCCAACTTGACCACAATAAATC